GAAATACCAATTGCTACACAAACACTTGTCAGGTATAATTCATTCTTTCAGTGGTTACTATTTATTACACAGCCTGATGTATTAGATACTAGTGCAATTTATATTAATACAGCCCTACAACACTAGTATAGGAAATATTATCATATACTGTGGTACTCATAAAACGAAACGTGCAAAGTTTATGTTGTTCTTGTAAACAAATAATTTCTATTCATTCATACATACCAGTATATGAATTTAAAAGTATGCAGATATCAATAATCATTAGAAATGGCCTTTATAATCCCACATCATGACTATTGCTGTTGCACAAAATGCCATATGATGTGGAGATCCAGTAGACTAGGACACATAGAAGCGAAAGTCATCTGGTGAGAGTAGCAGACAGTCCCTACGACCTAGTGCTAGCTCTGACCACAAACCACGGAGCGTACACTTGTGTGCCTCTTGAGGAGCACACCTGGCCTCACCTGACATTTGGAAAGACAAAGGATGAACATAATTTATAAAGATAATCTGGAGCAGAATTTTTCATACTTGAGTCATGACTCACAAGATTCTTACTTTTCATTCAATGTAAATATGCATAAACAATCATTCTGCATTACTTTAAAAAAAATACATGTAAACAGCTTTTCAAAGTCTCTCTTAAAACAAATTAGGGTAAATCTCATGTTGTTTGAGTTTACACCTTTTAACTAGCTTTAGGAAGCTGTGATTTACATTGCTGTGTAAATCACATCTGCTCATAAGCTGTTGTTTGAAAACATTGCACATCTGTGGTATCAAGTGTGTGCAAATTAGAGAATTATATGACATTACCAGCTTCTATTATATGACATTTTTATTATATGACATTACCATGCAAATGTAAGCTTCATTTTTTGTGCAATAGTTGAAGTCATATTATTATATAGCATAAACAACAATCATCTACTCTCTACTTAGGCAGCGATTCAATCAGGGATTTGCAATCCCTTTGCAATCATTTTCACAGAGCCATATAGTCAGGTACCCCAGTCAGGAACGTAAGTTACAAACTGTTATGTGCCCTGAAGCATGCTTAAGGCCATTCTTTATAGGTGGCCTGGTCACCACACTCATTACTTTGCGTAAATAAAAGGTGGGGGGTTGTATTTTGGAGTTGTGTTTGTTGATGAAAGAGGTTTTTTTTTTTTTGCAGCAATCTGCAAAAACAGAGGTTTTTCAGCTTTACTTTCATCATGTATCTGTGGCTTCCTTTTGAAGTTGGTACCAGACTGACCAGAGCCAGCATCTTACAATCCCAGATCTAGAAGCAGGGAGGTGGTATAGTCAATCACTCACGTGGTCTCTTCCAACATTACAACAGGGATTCTTCCCTATGACAGGTTTGCTGTATTTTTATTCAGCTGGGTGTCTCACGAGAGAGTATCACTAAGATTTTCCTTCTTATACTTCATAGTCTTTCTCCTATTTTCACCTCTTTATATACAAGTTCTTTTAAAATGTATTAATAAAAAGTTCTGCTTTAAATTACCAGTATTTTTTTTCCAGTCTTCACTGTATTTTCCTTTAGACAAATACTTCTACAAAGCTTTCATCAGAAGACCAACCATTATTTATAATCACCATTAATGAACCCTGACAAAACAATTATGCAGAAGCTATTACCATCTTTACTTTTTATAATAAATTGCAGATAAATTAATACATGACTCCATCAAGGTTGTGCAGTGAATTAATGGTAGCAGCAGGAAGTGTAGCCTAGAAACTTTGACACCCACACTCCTGCTGAAATTATATGCCCTGAAAACACCGGCAGTGTCTCAGACCCACTCTGCACTACCAACATTCCTCTCACATGACTGAAGTGTTTTTAGGCTATGAAAATTAAAGAAAAGGAAAAATAATGTAAATCAATGTCTGATTCTACATTGCTTCCCCCTCTGAGGCTAAAAGATTTTTTTTTCTTGTTTTAATTTTTCCTTACAGTAGATATTGGCAGGCTGAAAGTTGAAATAAAATAGGAAAAAATAACAAGAATATTTTGAGTGATTACTCAACTGGGGTCCTTTGTGACAGGAAATGCAGCTGCGTGACTAATGGACCTGACTTTCTCTTGGCTTCCTTCCCCCTTCAAAGATCTTGTTTACTGCCCCAGCCAATTTTATTTTTTTTTTAAATTGCTAGAAGCTAGCAATTTTCCAGGAAAAAAAAAAAAAAATCTTTGCAAGAAGCAAAGGCAGTAAATCTTACAAAGATCAAGGGCTGCAGAGCTCCCCCCCATCTATTCCTTTTAGCCTTCCAGGCCCTTGAGTCACGTCATACCTTCCCCCACTCTGCTCCGAACATGTGTCTAGCAGATCTTTCTGCTTTGGTGAGGGGAGGGAGTATGTGAATCACATTTACAGCATCTAGCCCTGGAATTCATAAAGGAAGGACTAATTCCATTAAGGAAATCCAGGGGCCTCCTAAGCCTCTTGCATTTTGTCTTTTTTTATTATTTTTCCTTGCTGTCTGTTTTTTTAACAGCAGTTGTGTGCCCATACTCCATAATGACATGGCTGTTAAGTGTGAGCTATTGAGATTTGACACAGCATAGTCACATTAGTAAGGGGCCATGGAGCTTTAAATGTTGTTTGCATTTGCCTGCTTTGTAAGTCTGCTTTGTTGAGCTTCCTAGGTAACAGCAGATAGGCCAGAACTTGAACCTCGCCTGAACTGGAAGAGAACAGAAACCAAGATTCATGGCAGGTCCTTGTCTTTACAATTCAGTGCAATGAAACCTTGAGTCCCCTCTCGGAAAAGGGGGGGGGTTGGGCATATGCTTGGATAGAGTCCCTAAACAAGCAGGGTCTTTCCATCCTTTGGAAGGTGTCAACAGGAGATACATACCCTGAAGGACAGTGGTACTGAGCCCTGAGGAGGGGCATAGTGGGCTGATGGAGGTGTCTGAGACGTGAAGGGCCCTCAAGACTACGTCCTCTATAAAGCAAACATGACATTTACTGGCCCAAAGGCGGAGACTGGTGCAGGAGCATGAGTGATGTCAGCAGCTGTGCCATCACCAGCCAGGGGAAACAGGTAAAACTCAGGACTAATAGTGGTGGGTTTATTCCTGCAAGGGGCTTACAAACTCAGCCAGACAGGTAAACAATAACCTCAAAAATCATAATCTAAGAGAAGTGGGGAGCCATTCTGCAGCCAGGCCCTTCTCTTTGGAAGGCTGGGGGGTCAAGCCACTGAAAAAGGGTTTGAGAGCTGCTCGACATCTACAATGCTGGCATGGTTCCCCGTGCCCTGTAGCAGAGGCTAAAAAAGGAGGTGAATATATTCATTACCATAAACTGCACAGAGTAACCCTCAGAATGGGTATGCTAAAAAAAGAGATGAAACCTTTGCTTATGAGTAGACCTAAAAGAATTGAATACATGTGTATGGAGGGATCATTTTCCACTACCTACAAGAGGAAAAATCTCTGGGGAAGTGGCTGATGCCAAATATTTTCTTATGCTTCATGTGTCAGCAGGGTCTGGCAGAAACCCTTAGAAAACAGAGCACGCATTTTGTGCAAATTGAGAATCACAATTTCTGGTGATTTGGATTGCTTCACCAAACTTGAGACGTTTCTCCAAAAATACAGCAGATGTCTGATGATGTACCAAGTTTTCAGCATTTACACAGATCAGATGATGTTAGATCAGCAGAAAAAAAAAATAATAACAGAATAACATAGTAAAAGGCTTCCGAACTGTCCTGAAAAAAAAACCAAACCCTAAGCTGGGCTAGACAAAAACGTTAACTTCTCACAACAGCTATACAGTGCTGGGGAGACACATTGCCATAGCAAAGATCACAAAGGAGCTGGACTGGTGCTGAAGTGGTGGGCAGAAGAACTCAGTGGAATGGGAGCTCTGTGCGCATATTACCTGGCTGCATGACCTGCCAGCCCCAGGGCACTGCTATAAAAAGATAGGCAGCAGACTTTGACTATAAAACTTAACAATTCCAGAGACTGAAGAAGGTTCTTAAAGAGGATGTGGCTCTGTTGTATCTTAACACTACACATGAGACAGAGCTGTTCCCAGAATCATCTTGCAGCTATACAGTCAAAACTGGAGTTCAGTAAATTCTGTGCAATGAATGCTGACAAAAGCTGAGTGTCAGTGCATTCAGTTAGAGAGGAAGGATTTGGTGTTTGTCCATGAATGCAGAAAGTTCCCTACCTTTTTGTTTGTTCTTTTTTTTTTTCCTTTTCTGTAATGAGAAGCCTGCATTAGAAAACTGACCATGACCCACTTACTGCAATAGCCAAAATGGCCTGGCAAAGCCCCCTCACCTCATGAACACCGCGGTTTGGGATTTTTTGGTCAGTTATGAATTTAGGATTTGAAGACTGGGAGGGATTTGATGGGTTCAAACTTAATCCCTAGAGCTTCTGATGAAAAAGCAATGATGCGAAGTCCAGAGCTAGATTTTGTATGTGATGATTTGCTTAAAAATTTTGCTTATCATGGGATAAGACCCAGGAGAAAGTCTACGAGCCTATCACAGAGAATATTCTTGTTGCTGACTTCAGGGGAAGTATGAATAGTATATCCTGGCTAGGAAAAATGGTATAAACTTTCTTGTTATTTCTACTCCCCTGAGGTAAGTTTACTTGAGGTAGTACAGCTGAACAGGTGACAGGGTATATCAAGCTTATCATTACTACACATCCAGTACCTGCTAAGGTAAACAAGGTCTGACAGTGCAGCAGGAATAAGTGTAAGATGTCTTCAGTAAAATAAGATTTAGCTCTACCATTCTAATCAACAAGTTGTTAGGAAATAATGCCAAAACAGATTGGTTGCTACTCAGAAAAAGTGTGAAATTGGGATGTGATCTGTTTTTACACCTGTTATTTCAAGGTGGAACCCACAAATGAAGTAAGTGAACTACTGAAATTTGCTTGACAAAAAAAATGAAATAGAATAATTTTAATGCTTGCAGTCTTTCAACTCCCTGCCATCTTCAAGGGTGTCATCAGAATTATGGGGGTCTTGAAGAAGACTAATGAAGAAGACTAATGTCAAGACACAGAAACCTCAGAATAACATGACCTGCCACCCCAGCGAATGTGGTTGTGATGTTCCAGAGACATAAGCAACACTGCCCCGTTCTCAGGATTCATTGAGCACAGTTTATGTGATGCTGGTTCTGATCATTTGCAATTGCATATTAGCACAACCTCCCTGAATTTTGTCTTGGAAAGCTCAGTGACTTTAGGATGTCTGGCATTAAGAACTGCCCTTTCCAGTATGAGAATCTGAATGAGGTGCTGCACAGTTCTCATTTTATTATGAACAGCTGGATGAGAACAGATGCATAATAAAGCATATCTTTCAAAAGCAGCCTAAGCACTGGATGCACAATGCATTTCAGCCCAAAGGTGGCTGCATTTGAGCCACAGAGAAGGAATCCATTTATAAAGAAGCCTCTCAAGCACTTTGGGATGAAAACACCATACAGAATCTGCTTAATTCACTCATGTGACAAACTCTCATTTCATATTGTTTTCCTGGTTTTGCTATGCCAGTCACACTGCAATTCCAAATGTCCTTGCTCTGTGCTGGAACAGCAGTTCACCACATTCAATAAAGCCAGCAGAATAAAAAACTTGTGATGGAAATAGTTGTTGTGTGTGCAGCCTGCCCATGCTCAGAGACTGCTCATGTTCCATTTCTCTCTGTCTCGTTAACAAATGGCTACCAGTAATCTCATGTCATTACTGTGATTTTGAATTCTGGGTGTACTTTGCTCACCAGTAGCATGTCCTAGGCTCTGTGTTCTGTTGCATGATGGTTGCCTTGCATTCAGGCTCCTGGCTGCCTTGGTTGTTTTGACCTTGTTCCGTTCCAAAGAAGCCCTGCAATTCTTCCATTCTCTGCTGTTAAAAGAGAGCTCTTCTCTTGCAGATTTTATATTAATTAACTAAATTGTACATGGTAGTTTCATGAGCTAACCTCCCTTAGGGCTTTTTGCAGTTACAGAGTGGAGGAAGAAGAACATTTACACAGCAAGTAACAACTTTGCAAACAAGTAACAACTTTGCAAATAAAAGTGAAGGGAATTGCCCACCAAAGTTTTCATAGGTAACTCTCCCTGTCCCTGTTCTCAGATCAGCTCTGTCTGTGACAGCTCCCCTTTCCCACTATGTATAGTACAGAACACTCACATTCATAAAGTATCAGCAGGCATGAAAAGCACACCCACGCAAGTGTTAGGTGCCCAAGGTCATTCATTTCCCACTCTGCAGCAATGATTCAGTTTGGTGATGGCATTGTGACCTTGAGGCAGGAGGACTGGGATACTCCTTGAGGAGCAAGGACTCACAATGAGGGCAAGGTACATCATCATACAGTGCTCTGCATCTAGGAGGTCTGTGGGAAGCTGGGGAGCCTCAACGGCTGCTGCAGCCAAAACTGGAGTCTGAGCTTTGCTGGAGGTGTGGGCTTGTCACATGCTCTGTCCTTCATCTGTCCACTTGAAAGTCATGCTTAGCCTACACATTATAGCTGCTTGGAGAGACAGCGGTTCCCTTCAACACACTAGCTCTCAGGTAGCTAGTAGAACTGAGATTACTGCAGTGGTTTGGAGAAGAAGGAAATTATCGCCAGGCTGGATAAAATCTTAAGGTTGATGCAGGCAGAGCTCCTGCCAGATGAAGCATTTGCACCTGGAAATCCACAGGGCAGAAGATTGGCGCTGGAGCATTTGTGTTGCCATCAGCAGGGCAGCAGCTCGCCTGCACGTACTCAGACTCCCAGGAGGCCAGGGCTCCAGGCTCCTCAAGGAGGTCATTTTTTTATATAGTAAAGCAAACAGTTTAGCTAATCAAGGATTTTTTTTTCCTTTTCTTTTCTGAGGCTCTTGGCACCCAGCCCTGTTACTTGCAATCTTTAATTTGTACTGTGGCTTCCTTTTCCCTGCTGCCGTCTCACTCACTCCAATTTTCCCACACACTTATTTCCTAACTCTACCTCTTACAGAGGTCTTCATTTATTTCAGACCCAAATTTATCTCAATCTTGCACAAAGCTGCTGTTACCTCATCATTTATTCCTGTGACTGTCATCAGAAATTCATGAGCTTAGAAAGTTTGTGAAAAAAAAAAAAGTGCTGTTTTTTGTGTCGTAGAAAATAGGTGGTGATAACTCACGTTCTTACAGAGTCACTTTATTCATATGTGCTTGTGGAAATTGACTGCGGATTCACTTAGACCTTCTTTTTGGTTATATAGCTGCCTGGGCATCAAGTTCAGGCTTTTAACTGTGTTTTTTTAAAGGATCTGTGTATGTCTTTTGTAGGGGTGGGCTACAAGCTACACACACTACTCAGAAGCTGGCCATGAAAACGCCTCTTATCATACAGCTTTCACTATCAGGGAGCAGATTCTGACGAAACAAAGTCACATTTTGCCAGATTCTCCTTCCCACTTCCATGCTGCTAAGAAAAAAATGGAAGAGAGAAAGGCATTTTTTCTGGTGAGCACAGCTACACAGTCCATAGTACTTACTCCGTGTAATACGTGTAGAGAAACCAATGAAGGCAACATGCAAATAAACATCTCAACTAAAACCACAGCAAAATCCCAGTGAAAATATACAGGTACCTAGTCACCACTTGTCAACACTGCAGAGGTTGGCTTGCTCAAAGGCTGATGATAAGAACATGGGTGGGAAGTGACCCACCTGGTCATCAGGTTCTGCCTCATGAAATCACCTTTAAATGGTCTTTTCTGAAAAGCTGCACAGAACACGAAGTGTTCCTTCAGTCTACACTCATTGTAGGAGCCACAAAACACCACTATCCTGTAACAAATGCACAGCCTCCACTGCACATGTAGATCCACCTGATCTCATTTCATTTCAGGTAAATACTTCTCCTCCTTCCCCGTGGTTATTTCTAAGTCCGTTTCTACAAAACTCCTCTGCCTCTGAATGGAGCTCAAGTTGGCAGGGTAGCACTTTCCAAACCACAAAGCAAGCTGTGAACAGCTAACAAAGCCTGACACACATTCCACGTATTTTCATATGAGGAACTATTCCTCATAGCCACTTTCATGCAGGCCCAGGAGGGTTTTAACTAATTGCAGTGAGAAGGGAGCTAAAAGCATGGTGACACACTGAGCTAGCAGGCAGTGGGTGGCCCGTGTGCAAGCCTTCTGCAAGGCGGCAGATCATAGCCCAGGTCCAGCACACAGGACACAACAGGCTGCCACAAAAAAATCCCTCAGAAAGAACAGAAGTGGATTTAACAGGATGAACAGAACCTTAGGAAACGGATCCTGCCAAGACGTGTGCTGCACATGCTCTGTGAGGCAGTCAGTTCACTACTTCCCATTAATTTCAGAATCCACCAGTGAAGCAAACACAGCTCTTTATAGGGTGGGAGATGTTTTAAAAGAACAGTTAGTGCAGATTCAACTGCTATAAAGCTGCGCAGCTCTAGTAAATACCAGGGGGTGTTGCTGATTTATACCAGCTGAGAAGTTGGCTAATACTCTTTTGGAGTCACCACCTCTACCATTCATAATTGCCAGCAGAAATGTTGGGAAGGGCAAGAAGAAATGAAAAATGGAGCACATTCATGTGAAAAAGCTTCGATGTGAAACAAATGTCTGCTCACTGCACAAAAGCTGAAATAATACAGCCGTTATTGGAACTGTGCTACAATAGAAAAGCTGGATGAGTCAACCAGCAGTGCATCTAATCTCCACTGGCTGCCTTTCTGGTCCCCAAGCTCCCCATCTATTTTTATCTCTTCTTTTTTTAATATACTTTTTGGTTTACAAGCAATAAATCTACAGCTCTTTGGTCCCCTGTGTGCACTCTTGCCGGCAGGTCACTCAGCATGTAGGATGTTACCCAGACGGTTTTGGCTATTAGGCCACAGAACATGGAGGCTAGGTTACAGATTCAAAAGAATGTGGCCCAGACAGCACAGCAGATGCTACTGAGAGCACGTGGCGCAACAGGTTTTCTGGACTGAAGGCAAGTAGGCACCACACAGGAACTGTTTGGTGTGCTCCACAGATGGCCAGAGACTAGGCGTGAAAGTTACCGAGCTCGGGGGCCCCTAACACAAGAGGGATGCAGACCTATTTGAGCGAGTCCAGAGGGCCATGACCATGATCAGAGGACTGGAGCACCTTTCCTATTGAGGCAGGCTGAGAGAGTTGGGCTTGTTCAGCCTGGAGAAGAGAAGGCTGCGTGGAGACCTTGTAACAGTCTTCTGATATGTAAATGGGGCCTACAGGAAACCTATAAAGGGACTTCTTACAAGGGCATGTAGTGACAGGACAAGGGGGAATGGCTTTAAGATGACATAGGGGAGATTTAGAATAGACATTAGGAAAAAATTCTTTGCCGCGAGGGTGGTGAGGCACTGGCACAGGTTGTCCAGAGAAGCTGTGGATGCCCCATCCCTGGCAGTGCTCAAGGCCAGGTTGGACAGGGCTTGGAAAAACCTGGTCTAGTGTGAGGTGTCCCGGTCAATGGCAGGGGGCTGGACTAGATAGTCTTTAAGACCCCTTCCAACCCAAACCGTTCTATCATTTTATGAAGTGGGGTAAGGGCTGCAGTTGCAAGACTGGGGGATAACTGAGAGAGCCCAGTCATGCCATTGCCATTTGCTGGAATTCAGCAAAACATGCCTGACTGATAGATGTGCATCAGAGCAGGTGTCTGAGGAACTCTGGGATAGGCTTGTTTCCAAATGTGCAGTAACACACAGTTGTGGGCCAATGCTCTGTCCAAGCTCCATGCTGCAGAGTATGACACATGCAGAGGGAGTAATGTCCGATGAGCCTACTGGTCATGCAATAACTAGTGGAAGAGCTAACACTAAAATGGTACTGGCAGTCAGAATCTGCTACTGTGCCTATACAAAAGCAATGTCATTCCTTTTCTCCATGGGCAGGGAAATTTTTAGTTAAGCTAAATGTATCTGGTTCACCTTAGGACCTTACATGTTACCCATTACAGACTGCAATATGTGGAAGTTGAGAAAAAGACAACCCGGATTTAAGAATCACTGGGCAGGTGATGGGAATGGCTTTCATGGTGCAAGGCTTCACCACTGTTTGCTGGCTGGGTGTGGTAGTGCTCTCTTGAGAAAAGTGTGGGTGAAATTTCAGACTCACAGTACTCCTGCTTCGTTTTTCTCTGGTAACCAAATTAAGATCCTAGCAATGGAGCCATTATTTTTCTAATTTCTCTCTGTTCTCTTTAATGGTTTCATCACAAACACACACAACTAGTCACCTCGCGCTCATACATGCTGGGAAACATCTGTTAATTGAATATTAAGATAGCCAGAGTGCTGTAATGGATAGAAACTACTGGGATATGATGCTAGCCCACAGCCTTCCCTTTCATCCCAAGAGTACGTGCTTCAGGGAGTAAGGGAGAAGAGTATATGAGTTTAATTTCAGACATTCACTTTTTAGGTGCCCCTGAGGGATGTACCCATTTCCTATATAAGGTTTGGTCTGTTTGCAATTAAGCTCTCTTCTTTGCATATTTCCGGATAGATTAAAAATAGCAAAATCAGCTTATTCTTGGACTTCTGGAGATAAACAAAGCCGTTGCTTCCAGGGGTTTTAAAGCACTGATCGGGCTTACAGATCTTGAAGGCAGAATCTGTCCATGAATTTTTTTATGCTGGATAAACAAGAATTTCCAAAGATAAGAGGAAAGGCAGGGCACGTTTCTAAACACTGGAGACCTTCTAAAGCAACTAACTCTCACAGCCTTCATTTTTAAATAAAACTAAACATTGATAAGAAGTTGAATGCTCATTACACAGAAATCTCAAGACCACTTCAAACTTGTCCCACCCTTCTCACAACCTATGGATCAGTTCCAAAGCTAAGGCTTACTAAGCTCCCATCACAATTCTCCTCTTACTCGTCTGTTGGGATTATCATCATCAATCCATATAATCCAAAATGTAAAGCTGTTTTTTGTGATGCAGCCATCCATTCTCAAGGACCTTAACAGAAACAATGCATTTGTAATGGTGCCTAAATTGCTATCAGATGGGAATGATTCCCATACACCCCTAACAGCCTGAGCTTGGGGATACGATAGAGATCTGCACCTGATCATTTCTTCCCTGCTGTTGAGGTTTCTACTAATTTGCAGAAATTACCTGGAGCAGGGGCCATTTTCCAAAGGAGTGCCTGATCACTACATTGTTAATGTAAGTCTCCCGACAGTGTTTTTGCTGTTTTCATTTATCTTTAGCAGAATGCTTAGAAGTCAGTGGACCCTGATGGATCCATGGACGATGGGATAAAAATAACTGATATAGCGGTTTTAATGTTATTCACATTCTCTTATGCTGAAAGCAGAACAGTGATTTAACCAAATATAACAAAAATTATTAGTTAGTATTCCCAAACTCCAGAAAACCTTTAAAACTACATTCAGCTCAGCAGTGGAAAGAATTCCCACTAGCTCCTTAGGGATTATGCTAATTTCTTCTGGATCTCAATTTTCCTAGTAGGCTAGATTAAGGACTCAGATCAGCACTGAACTCTTAATCTTGAAAATTCAACCATGGCATACATGCAATTCATAATTTCTAATTCTGGTTGTGTTTGAGATTCCTTATCCAAAAATCCAATAATCTGATTACTTAACTATACAGAATCTTCATGCACTTTTAGTGCTTTTTACTTTGAGAACAGACATGGGTAAAAACCCTGGGGTTTTTTGTAGTCCTAATTTTCAGCCAGTTTAGCTCCCTGAACTATGCTATTTCAGAGTCAGATACTACTGTTTGTGTTGAGGAAACACAGGAGCATGGCTGGGCAATAGCAGCCCTGATTTAGGTTGGCTGGAATGGATGTGGATCTGTGCTCTACCTACAACTACCTGCGGGCAATGTTTGTTAAAAAACATATGGGGATGACTTACAGAAAGCTGTTTTGAGCATCAGTTCTTTAAAGACTCAATTTCCAAAGCGGAAGTTCCAGACCAGTAATCACTACAAGTCATTGTGAAATTCGTATTTATGGATATTTTTAGAGCCTCAGGTAAGGGGTTGACTGATGAAAGATTTGACAGTCTGGCAGAATAAATTGCATGGAGATTCTGGCAGACTTTTAGGACTAGAAACAAGGACTAGGCTCCAGAAGATTCAGGAGAGAGTGCGGACTGGGAACCAGCTTGACAGAACACAAGGACTGGAATAAAAGCTGCAAGTTGGGACCAGTGTGCATTAATAGTAGAGCTGAAGAACCCCAGACTTCTAGAAGAGTGAGACTACCTAGGTCTGAGATGAACTGGTGGAATTACACTGTGAATGCTGCATAGAGCCTGTCCACACAATGCCTGGCTCTTACATGCCTGCTGGCCCTCTTTTTCAGAGTGCTGCATTGCCCCAACAAAAATGTAGAATGCTGATGATTCAGGAAGGAGAGAAGATTACATCACCACAATATCCATGCAAATAAGTGGACACATTTACTGTTGAGTAGTACATCCCCTGGAAAATCTACAGGGACAACAGTAGAGGGGAGGAAAAATATACAGTTAAGCAAGATACAAATGCAGGGACGCACACCACCAGGCTGCATTTTGTCCCTCTGCTGTGAAGAACACTATAATGGCATGAGAAAGACCGGTGACCCATTTCATATTGCCTGTGATGGCAGGAGGATTCTTCCCCACTATGTTTGATTCCTAGGGCTGTACAAGGAGCAGCACTCAATGCCATAAATGTTACAGATGCAAGCAGCTTTGAAGAAGTCAATAGGACTGTTCAGCAGGGCTCTTTGTAAGAGCTCAAAACCAGCCCCTTATTTTGGTAGAGAAGCATAGTAACAAGTCCTGCTGCTGCAGCAATACATACACTACTGCTGAGGACCTGATAAAGGATACATTGTGCAATAAGAGTTGTAAACAGATATCGAAAAATAAGAATGAGGACTTTTGTAAAAGCAGGACAAAAAAGTGTGAAGTTTGGTTTGTTTTTTTTTTAATATTCTTTGAACTGAAAGTGCTCTTGCTTCTCTTTGGCTCTCAGCAATGTGACGGACATGGGAATCTTTCTGGCACCATGGTCTCTGAAGAGTCAGCTCTCTGAGCTCCAAAATCTGCTCCTGCACATTTACAGGGCATTTGCTGAAAAAAAAAACCACAACCAAAACCAAACAGCAGAATAATCTCCTGTCCATCAAGCAAGATTTCACAACTACAGTACCAGGCACAGAGAACTCTGCCTGCCTGGCCCACAGCCACACCACGGGCGGCAAACTTTCTAGCTCTCACAAACTAATCAGGTTCAGGTCAGGTATGTGACTGAGAGAACTCCAGTGAGGGGGGAGGGTGAAGCAGGAAGTGGTACTTACTGGTGATTCAACCAGGGATCATCTTTAAAACATTTCTTAAGTTGTTCCTTCAGAAATAAGTTCTGGATGTCAAGGGAAGTGAACTTATTTCTAAGAGTCCAGAAAGGGAAAACTTTCTGGTAGAAACTTAAAAGTGGGAAAGACTCATTATTTATGAAGTAGAAAAGCAACTTATTCATTCATCATAGATTTTATGATGACAGTTTATAGTGTCTAACAGTGGAGTGGGACAGGTGACAAGAAGACAAAACCACTTCCAGTTGCTATTATCACCCCTCAAGACAATCTTTCTTTCTAGTAAGAAACTACAGCTGTAAGAGAAATAATTTTGAAGTTTCAGCACAGCTTCCTGCACACAAAAAGACAGCACCAGGGTGACTTCAATCAATGTCTGCACATGCAATCACAGGAATGAAAAAGACTCATTCATTGCTGGGTTTTGTATTAAATACTGCAAACAGTTAGTAGTATACCCCTAGAGCTACACAGTGGTGGTTTGCGCCACTCTGTACTGTGAGGAGCAACTGGAGTTTAACACCTTTCCCCCAAAACCATAAAATTACAAGCTAAGGTTCACAGCAGCCACAAGCACTATGAGCTCTGTCCCATCCCAACACTGCTTCCGGCTCCTCAGAAAGGCTGCTACCAAATTAAAGTAACATAATGCCAAAGTACTCTCATAGTCCCATTTCTTGAAATCTTCAAAGAACAGCTTCATGGGAATTCCTTTATAGCCAAGAATAAGGCTTTATGCTCAAGGCAGTGTGACCAGAGAAGAGCCTGTGGTCAGTGTTATACAGATCATCCTTGGTTCTGTAGTGGGTCTTTTGGATAATGTGACTCTACAGTCAGTAGATGCAAAGAATGGCCAAGTGAGCAAGCTACTATCTGGATAGTGCTCATCAGCTTTCAGATCCAGCTTTCAGTTGCCTGCTCCACAGCTGTGTTTGCTATGTCACATGTAGCTGTAATGTAGAAGCAACAAAAGAAGCAACATGGCAGAGCTGTGATGGTGAGAGACAGACGTGAACTTCAGAGTATCAGGTATGTCTCATTACACCTGTGGGTCTTTCAGATACGTCAGTATAAGTGTGTAGGATCACAGAATCATAGAATAGTTAGGGTTAGAAAGGACCTTAAGATCATCTAGTTCCAACCCCCCTGCCATGGGCAGGGACACCTCACACTAAACCATATCACCCAAGGCTCTGTTCAACCTGGCCTTGAACACTGCCAGGGACTGGAGCATTCACAACAACGGCAACCCATTCCAGTGCCTCACCACCCCTACCGTAAAGAACTTCTTCCTTATATCCCATCTAAACTTCCCCTGTTTAAGTTTGAACCCGTTACCCCTTGTCCTATCACTACAGTCTCTAGTGAAGAGTCCCTCTCCAGCATCCCTATAGGCCCCCTTCAGATACTGGAAGGCTGCTATGAGGTCTCCACGCAGCCTTCTCTTCTCCAGGCTGAACAGCCCCAACTTTCTCAGCCTGTCTTCATATGGGAGGTGCTCCAGTCCCCTGATTATCTTCATGGCCTCCTCTGGACTTGTTCCAACAGTTCCATGTCCTTTTTATGTTGAGGACAACAGAACTGCACACAATACTCCAAGTGAGGTCTCACAAGAGCACTATCAAGGTTTGCATTGAACATCAGGAAAAAGCTTTCCATTGTGAAAGTAGTACAACACTGGAATGGGTTACCTAGAGAGGTTGTGCAATCTCCATCCTCGGATATTTTCACAACTTGGCTAGACAAAGTCACAGCTGACCTGTTAAGTGCTGGCAACAGCTCTGCTTTGAGCAGGATGTTGGAGTAGATACCTCCAGAGGTCCCTTCTGAACAGTATTTCTATGTTGCTGTGTGTCTCTCAGATCCCAGAGTTGAGCTGACAAGCCATGTTTTGGAAGGGCTCTGTAGGGTGAGAGGCTATTGCTGGTAACACCTACCAAGCCTGGAATGGTTGGAATGGTTTATGCTTAGCAAACTAAGCATGTGAGTGAGGACTCCCACACATAGGTAACACCTTCTCTTGAGTGGCAGAGATACTGCAAAATACTGCTTATAAGGTAGCAGTATTTATGGAATGCTGATGCTGCTCTATCCCCTCATGCAACCATGGCTTCAACAAAGAAAAGGTGTTAGTCTCCTGCAGAGCTCTTGTGACACTCTTTTGTAGCAGTGGTGAGAGCAATAGCATTAGTGTGTGTGACCAGCATGCTGAGGCATTGCTTAGAGGGCAGGCTCATGGCTGAGTTACAGGCTGGCATAAACTTAACGTTTTGTTTCCTGGTTTTAAGACAATTATATTTAGCTGCTTCCTACACTAAAAGGCCCAGAAGGATTGCATTCTTACCACCATAGAGAGAAACAGATTTCAGACTGGACTGGCTGCAGGAACATGCTGGAGTCATGCAAAAGCTGATAGTTCAGTGGGGACAATTCTATTGAGGCTGACAGACATAGCAGAAGTATGCACAGAACAGACAAAATCCTTTCCACAGAAACCCCCTTTGCACAGTTCAGCCACACTTCATTCATCCATAGCTCTTTGTTGGTTCATTCCTGGCACATCTGTTTCTCACCCCCATTTGGAGCCAGCCTGCACACTGCTGTAACACACTCATGTCTACCATTCTTTTAATCACTCTCATAACCCCAGGATGTTCCCCTCTTTCAGCACAGAGATATCAAGCAGAGATGATGGGACCCGAGACATGCATGTTAGTGCACTAGTTAGACACAGGGAGAGCCAGGAAAGTGCTGGCCCCAGGTGAGAACTTCTCCATTAGCAAATTAGCAAATGCAAGATAAGATGCGAACATGTATCTGAACAAATTACGTTCTCTAGAAACTGTCAGGAATATGGCACAGTGAACAAATGGAGCTCAAAAGTAATGACCACAGTTTATTACTTGGAGCTACCAATGTGCTGTAGAAAATCTTTTCCTTCAACAGAGCCCTAACCACGGCATACGGCAGTGTGACCTGTACTGATACGGACTTCCAAATGACTACAAATAACATTTCAGAGATTATTTACTCTTGTTTATTAGCTTGAATAAATACTGAGCAGCTGAGAATGCTTTGGTGAGTCTGAATCTTAACATGATACCTTACATGGCACAGAAAAATATGTAAAGAATGAGATAATTTTGGAAAACGCTGTGCTGTTTTTAATGGGAGCTGTTTCTCAGGAACTTTTTGCTGACAAAAACCAAGTACCATGACTACCAAAGCTTCCTGGGACCCCCATGAAACATGAACCAACTTCACCGTGCCCTAAGCTGTCAAGGATTTTTAAGAGTATTTAGGGTAGTAGATCTTGTGCTCAGCTATACACAAACGTATGTTTGATAGCCGTAAATACATTAATCTTCACATTCTCCATAGAGAAGCCTACATTTATTAGAGCCATAAACAATGAAAGTTAAATCGTAACCACACAAACCAGCAGGACCTATGCTCAAAAGGATTCTTCATGTCAACTCAACAGAGTAAAAGCTTCTCACACCCTACAAATACAAATAAAGATCTTTATCTACTTCCTAATAATGACATTAGGATAAACTCTGTCCAGTCTTGCATATATGTGTGTAAGAAACCTTCCCTTGATACAGCTCCTATGCAAGGGACTAGCTTCGGCTACTGTCTTATGCACTCCTGTTTTGCTTCATTCAAAATTGTCCATTCCATATTAATGCCTGGCTGCCAAATCACATTAATTCCATAGTTGTATCCCTGTCATAAGTCATTAGTTCCACACTCTTGCCACACATAATACATACATTCCACATTCTTTTCCTTAATATGCAAATCTTTCCAACCATGGTCCCCTTTGTTTCGGTGCCTCTCAACCCACCAGCATATGCAGGAGGGCTCACAAACTGATCCTCTGGGATATACTCAAATATGACCAATATGTTCTTTGTGATTTGTATGTGACGATAGGCGATATTTTGAGGTTCCCTCCCAAGCCTCAGATTGTTTAAGTAGTGCTCAGATTCCTGATCCCTTTCATCTGCACCAGGTGGTTTACACTGATCATTATGAATTTCCTTTCAAGGCTCCTAAACAAGAACCGACTTTGTTTACAGTAAAAACTTTTCCACTGGCCCAAAGCAGTATTCTGAAACAACACAGAGGCTTAGGTGAACAACCACATCACTGCCACCATCTCCTCTTGTCAGAATCTCATCAGGATCTTACTGGACTCGTGGCTATGCCTTGCATTCAATCAGCAGCAACAGCTAGAAATACTTATCCTAGAAATAACATCACCTTCTTTGACAGCTGTCAGGTTCCTGACAACAATGGTTCCTGCCTTCCTTTCTTTAAGTAATTTCCCTTCAAAATCAGCAGTTGCAACCTGCTTCACAGTCATTTGGACATTTTATTTGGTCTAAAATGTAGCAGAACGGATGAAGTGACAAAATCACTTGCTCCAGCAAAAAACTCTGATTATGAGGTTGTGGTACTCAAGACCCATACTCTGACTCATTCATACAACTGTAGTCTAATAGAGAGCTGGGAGCAGCTCTTGCGCATTTCTGAAAGGCAAACTACAGTCGAGCGGCTGGAGCTGTAATTCTCCACCCTGATCTCTCCCGTTCCCAACTACTGT